AGAAAGAAAGAAAGAAAAACTAGCCAGGATTGTGGTAGGTGTCTGTAGTCCCAGGTACTTGGGAGGCTGAGGCAAGAGGATCACTTGAGCCCAAAGGTTTGAGGTTGCTATGAGCTCTGATACCCTGGCACTCTACCCAGGGTAACAGAGTGAATCTCTGTCTCAAAAAAATAAAAAACTAAAAATAAAAAGTAAAATATAAAGTATCCAAGGTATTTGTTTGGCTTACAATTTTAAGGAACTTGTATGTTGATCAGTATGAGTTTTAGGATAATTAAAGCATAGTTAGTAGAAAAAAAGAGAAAAGATTAATATTTATGCCTTTTTTTTAAAAAAAGCAAGATAAGAAATAGAAAAAATACCGTATTTTTCTTTTATTTTGTCAAAGCTAAATCACTTTTATTTGTGTTTATAGGCAAAATCATCAACATTGCAGACGCCTAATCAGACCCCCTCACAGGTGAGAAATTTTTTCTTAAATCTAAGAGCCAGGATTTCAAATAAGCTATAATACGTTTGGAATATATGAGATTTCTAAAGCATTTCTAGTGCGATCTACCCTTTACAGGTTTGAAGTTAGAAAACAGTTTTGTGTTTATTGAAGCTGAAGTATTCCTGAAAGTCTGCTTATTGAATTACACTCTGAACACAGCAGATTTGTTTCTAGTTTCATATTTTCAAATTTTTGATTTCTGGATGTTTTTACGTTTATATATGTAATATTTAATAGATTGGTGATAAGCTTATTGTATTTTCTTAGAGACCATCTTGGTGGCCCTTCGAGATATCTCCTGGTGCATTAACTTTTGCTATCATATGGCCTTTCATTGCCCAGTGGCTGGTGCATTTATACTATCAAAGAAGAAGAAGGTAATTCTACAGTTTTATAATTCACAATGGTGTATAAACTCTTGTAACCTATGGTAGAGAGAGCTTACAGCAGCAATTAAGGGGATAAGTCCATTTTTTAGATATAGTACCATATTGAACATTCTATACTAATCCTGAAATTGAAATTACCTTGAAAATGATAGTTTGTGAATTTCTAAGTACTTGTTAGACTTAAAACATTTTTACTATGTACACTTTAGATTTGGGCAACATTGTGACAGTGACTACATGCTTCTTACCTGTTATTGCTTATAAGGAAACAATGCTCTTATAGTCCAAAGTTTATTTAGGGTCTTTGCTGATACAGAGGACAATGAAGAGGTAAATAAATAATGCCTCTTTCCTCTCTATACCTTTGAAATATGTTATGAAGTTGAGCTGACCTAAAAAAGAGTGAATATTAAAAACAAATAAATAAATGAAAAATATACCTTTGAAATCTAAGACCTTGACGTTTCAGAATATTTTCAGCCTGGTGGCTATTTCCAGAATTAGAAATTATTTTACTTTAAAGGCCAGAATTCCAATTCAAGATAACAAGTGATACCTCTGAGAAAATATATTAGAATTCCTGAAAGTGCCCTGAGTCTGTCTATGTTAGAAATAACCAAGGCCAAAACCCTTAGGTTCAAGAAAATCCTTAAATCTAAAAAGTATCCTTTTACGGACACTGTGTAAATGCTGAATGAGTGGGCAAACAGACCATTATGTATACCTCACTGCTGGCACACTGATTAGGTTTTCAGTGGTCCATCTCAGTTTTCTATTAAGTCCGACAGGTAGGAAAAAAAAATAGGACATTTGATCATAATGTACACACATTTTCAAAATCTACAAATTCAAATATTTATGCTATATTTTTCCTTTACCAAAGAACCCAAGCTTCTTGTCTTGATAACAAAAAGCATTTTCTTTCTCTTATATGAAAGGAATGGGCAGCACTGGGAGTGCCCCAGTTATTATACCTTACAGTAGACTGACTGAAACCTATGACATTGGGCCAATCATTTAGGTTTTTCTTGTTCTCTGCTTATGTAAAGACAGTTTTATGGTTCAGCACCCGTAGCACAGTGTTTACTGCGCCAGCCACATACACCAAAGCTGGCGGGTTTGAACCCAGCCTGGGCCAGCTAAACAAAAATGACAACTGCAACAAAAAAAAATAGCTGGGCATTGTAGTGGGCACCTGTAGGCCCAGCTACATGGGAGGCTGAGGCAAGAGAATCACTTATGCCCAGGAGTTTGAGGTTGCTGTGAGCTATGACACAACAGCACTCTACCAAGGGCAACATAATGAGACTCTGTCTCAAAAAAAAAAAAAAAAGACAGTTTTATATTTATCAATGAGCTGAATACATTTTCTGATACATAAATATTTTTGGAATATACCTGATCCCATGAAAAACTTTAATAGAATTTCAGAAGCATAAATTGCTCTCTTGGTTTTATTTTTTCTTTTTTTCAATCCATTTATGTGTCTTTAGTTGTTAAGATACAGACCTTAATTTAAACCCTTTCTTTTCTTCTTTTACATGTTTTAAATTTGTCCTGTGATGGTTGGATTTAGTGTTTATATTCTAATATCCCTGGTAATAGGAGGAAAAAGGAACTAAACCTTTTAACCATGTGTAGTAATATAGGATTTAAGCTGCAGGGCACAATGACACTAGAGGTGGGTGTTTACATATTTTGCAATGCATTTCAAAGTTCCTTTTCATGTTTCCTTTGTAGAAGGGAGTTGGAGAGTAGAGAAATTTGGCACAGGACAAAAACACCTAAACTAAACTTACTTTGGTTAATAATTTATGATTACAGTTGAAGTGTTAACAGAAAAAGAGGGCTTGGCTGCTTATCCAGCCACTATGCAAGATGGAGATTAGGGCCACCAAACTAGTTGGCAGAAGGCCAGCAATTCTGGAGACCAGAGAGTGGTCTCTCAAAGAGTATTCTGCCTCAGCGACAATTGTAATAATTTTTATAATGGGAATACCAGGAAACAAATCTAGAAAATTTTAACTTTATCTGATAGAAAACAACATCAAAGTAGTCTAGTTTTCACTGTAACAATGCAAAATGTTTAAACAGCATAAAGGTAATTTTGACTTTAACAAAATATCTAAGAGAATCATCAAAGAAAGCATCATATTATCAAAGCAAACTTTGTTCTTCTAATATCACACCTGTTGTCTAGGTGTGACTACTTCCTCAAAGTCTGCTGAGACAGACACCCTCACAATCATGGTGAAACCTTAACTAGATAATCGCAGCATATGTGGGAAAGAAAGTGAGCTGAGCAGACCAGGTCAGCTGTCCTGCTTCAGCTTAGCTTCTCAGATTCCATCTTGCAGGTCAACTTTTTGGTTTCAGAAGCAGCTTATTTCATTACAGATGGAAAAAACACACTGTATTCTGCTTCTATAGTCACAGAAATTCGAGTTTTTCTAAAATTAACTTTTTAAATGTTTCTTACTAATAGAATTATATTAAAAGGTTGTTCACCATTTCTCCTCAATATCCCTTTGAGTTGTTCATGGATAGCACTGAATGGAGAAACTCTTTCCTATTCTTAATTTTCTACTTTGTTATTATTGAATCTTTATCAACTTTTTTTTTTTAGTGTATGTTAAGTGCTTGATCCTTCCAAATTGCAAATTATTGAGCACTGTGAAACTCACTTCATTTTGATGAGGTGTAGTAATTTTTTTTTGTTGTTGTTTGCTTATCTATGTAACAGATTAACTGGGATTAGAAGTAGGGCCTTATTTGATAGGGGAACAAGTTTTAGCCTTGGGAGGATTTAGGTATCTTTTCATCTGGCAGTGTTCAGCAGTTTTTAATCTGACAGTTGAAAGAATGAAAGCTAGAGAGCAGCGCATATGGTTTAGAAGAGATAGGTTCTATGTTAGAGATTAAGATCAAGGTCTAGAAATCTGCATAAGATGAGAAAAGTGTGGGCGGTAGAGGGTGTGTCTTAATTCATAATAGGGATTATGCTGTAGCTCACCCTAGTGCAGTGTCTGGCATGTAGCAGGTGTTAAATGAGTGTATGTTGAATGCATGACTGAGTGCCCTCTATGGGCAAGATGGCAAACTGAAGTACCCTAGTACACGGAAGAACTTTTGTATTGATTGACAGGGTCTCACTCTGTTGCCCTGGGGTTGAGTGCTGTGGTAACATCGTAGCTCACAGCAACCACAAACTCTTGGGCTCAAGTGATCCTCATGCTTCAGTTTCCCAAGTAGCTGGGACTATGGGTACCTGCCACAATGCCCGCTAATTTTATTTCTATTTTTAGTAAAGATGGGTCTTACTCTTTTTTTTTGAGACAGAGTGTCACTCTGTTGCCCTGCATAGAGTGCTGTGGTGTCACAGATTACAGCAATCTCAAATTCTTGGGCTCAAGTGATCCTCTTGCCTTGGACTCCCGAGTAGCTGGGACTGCAGGCACCTGCTACAATACCTAGCTAGTTTTTCTATTTTCTTTTCTTCTTTGGCCAGGGCTGGGTTTGAACCCACCACCTCCAGCATATGGAGCCAGCACCCTACCCTTTTGAGCCACAGGCGCTGCCCATAGTTTTTCTATTTTTAGTTGTGATGGGGTCTTGTTCTTGCTCAGGCTGGTATTGAACTTCTGAACTCAAGTGATTCACCCACCTCAGCCTCCCAGAGTGCTAGGAAAAAGATGTTTCTAACCACTTTTCTTTATCAGCCTGTCCAGATTCATAAATTCACTGTAATATAGTTTCCTTGGGGACACAGAGCCTTCAGTAGAGAGGTAACAAAGGACAAACTGGTTGGGAGTGAGGAGATTCCCAGAAGGAACTATCTTCAATTGCAGCTGGGGGCAGAAGGTACTGACACAAAGTTAGGCCCTGAGGAGGGGAAGGAATCTCAGCAGAGTATTCCACTAGGTGAGGGGAAAGGCAGAATTGGTGCCTGTTCCCTTATCTGTTGTTTCCTGTGACTTTTCTTCTCTTATCACACTTTACCTCCATTTGACAAGTTAATTTGAAATAAAATAAAGTAGAGAAAAGATTTCGTTAAGAGCCTGAAAAAATTATCAAGTTCTGAAGGTAATACTTTACATTTATTCTGTTACATATTAGAAGGTGGGGGTCCAGAGACCAAGTTATCTGCCTTTTTATAAATATGTGAAGGGTTGTGTGTAGTAATTTGCATCACACGGGTTTTTTTTTTGAGACAGAGTCTCACTATGTTGCCCTTGGTAGAGTGGAGTGCCATGGTGTCACAGCTCACAGCAACCTCAAACTTTAGGGCTTAAGCAATTTTCTTGCCTCAGCCTCCCAGGTAGCTGGGACTACAGGTGCCCGCCACAAGGCCCAGCTATATTTTTGTTGCAGTTGTCATTGTTGTTTAGCAGGTCCGGGCTGGGTTTGAACCCCCCAGCCCCATCGTATGTGGCTGGTGCCCTAACCACTGAGCTACAGGTGCCGAGCCATCACACAGGTTCTTGATGAGCATTGCTGACTGTTCAGGCACCCCTTTACTAACATTTTGCTAAAACCCCACTCATCAACCCTTATGTGTCTTGTCTTTGTCCACCGTTTCAATTCTCTTCCTTGGGGGTCTGTTTTCTTCATGCTACTGGGGATTTCCTTCTGTTATGTGAAAATTGATCTGATTGTTTAAAATGTCACTCCTGCCACCGAGGTGTACATAAGATTTCTACAGAGAATAAGGAATGAACGGATTATTTAAAATATCACTCACTCCCTGACAAGAGGGTTGCATAAGCTTGTTTCTGTAGAGAGGAATGAATCCGTAACAAGAGGGTTTCAGTCATTTTGGCATCCTGCTAAGGGTATGGAGATTTTACCACAGTGGAGCCATTCACAGAACTCAGATTTTATGAGATTCCTCTGTCTCTGGCTAATAAGCCCACCCTTCACTAATAGCTCATTTGCTCAGCTGTCATTAAAATCATCACATTTTATATACACAAGGTACCAGAAATATGTGTACGCCTTTTTTTTTTTTGAGACAGAGTTATTTTGTCACCCTTGGTAGAGTACCATGGTGTCATAGCTCACAGCAACCTCAGACTCTCAAGTGATTCTCTTGCCTCAGCCTCCCGAGTTCTGAGACTACAGGTGCCTGCCATAATGCCTGGCTATTTTGAGAGACAGGGTCGCACTCTTGCTTAGGCTGGTCTGGAACTTGTGAGCTCAGGCAATCTACCTGCCTTGGTCTCCCAGAGTGCTATGATTACAGGCATAAGCCACCTTGCCAGGCCACATATATATACATTTTAAGAAAGAAAAAAACTGTATTAAATTCATAATACTTCATGTTTTGATTTCTGCAATTATAAGAGGTGTTCAGCGTGACTTCTATTTATCTTTTGTTACAGTATATATTATTATAATTGTAATACAGTTTTACCTTTTTTTTTTTTTTTTGAGACAGAGTTTCACTCTGTTGCCCTGGGTAGAGTGCTATGGCATTATAGCTCATAGCAACCTTAAACTCTTGGGCTCAAGTGATCCTCTTGCCTCAGCCTCCCAAGTAGCTAGAACTACAGGCGCCTGCAACAATGCCTGGATACTTTTTTTAGTAGACATGGAGTCTCACTCTTGCTCAGGGTGGTCTCCAACTCTGAGCTCAAGCTATCCATCACCTGCCTTGGCTTTTAAGATAGAGTTTTGTTCTATTGTTTGGGCTAGAATGCCATGGCCTCAGCCTAGCTGATAGCAATTTCAAACTCCTGGGCTCAAGTAATGTTCCTGTCTCAGCCTCTAGAATAACTGGGACGGCAGGCAACTACCACAAAGCCTGGCTAATTTTTCTATTTTTAGTAGAGATAGGGTCTCTGGTCTTTCTCAGGCTGGTCTGGCACTCCTGAGCTCAAGTGATCGTCATGCCTCGGCCTCCCAAGAGTGCTAGGATTAAACAGATGTGAGCCACTGATATTTTAAGCCATCTTTCTTAAAGTGTGTATACATTTTGTTTGCTCCCTCTGTATATATTTGACTTTGGGGTTTACATGGCTCTACCTCCTCCACCTGAGAGCTTTGTCTCTCTCTTTTTTTTTTTTTTTAAATTGAGACAGAGTCTCACTTTGTCACCCTGTGTAGAGAGTACCGTGGTGTCATAGCTTACAGCAACCTCAAACTCGTAGGCTCAAGCGATCATCTTGTTTCAGCTTCTCGAGTAGCTGGGCCTATAGGCAGCAGTCACACCTGGCTATTTTTTTTTTTTTTTTTAATTTTTAAATTTTTTTTACCTGAGAGCTCCTGAGGAGCTGAGAGCCTGCCTCATGTATTTTTCAGTTCCCAGTACCTGAAAACTAAAAGAAACATAATGTGTGTTGAATAAATGGTCTGATTATATATCTGTCAAACTTATAGTTTTAAGCTTTTTTTGTTTTACAACTTTTCCATTTTGACACAATTATGAAATAATTTCCTCAATCTTAATTGTATATAGCCAATTGGAAAAGTATGAGAATCTTTTCTATGAGAAAGTAAGGGAGGAAGAATGTAAATTTAAATTACTTATTAAAAATGTTAATTTGGCTCAGCACCCGTAGCTTAGTGGTTATGGCGCCGGCCACATACATGGAGGCTGGGAGGGTTTGAATCCTGCCTGGGCCTGCTAAACAACAATGACAACTGCAACAACAACAAAAGAAAATAGCGAGGCATTGTGGTGGGCGCCTGTAGTCCCAGCTACTTGGGAGGCTGAGGCAAGAGAATTGCTTAAGCCCAAGAATCTGAGGTTGGTGTGAACTGTGATGCCACAGCACTGTACCGAGGGTGACATAATGAGAAAAAAAAGTTAGGTAATTGTAATTGGATCTTTCCTATCTTATAGGGCTATAAGTCACTATGAAGTAGTTTCATGAAGGCCATTTGCAATTCTTTGGTTTTATTTTAAATTTGAATATTACTGAAAATTCACTGATATGAATGTGTTGCCTATTCAAGTTGCATTTATACTCACAAGAAACTGGTTTTACTTTCTTTTTAAAGAAAACTGAACTGAAGAAAAAGTTGTTCTACTGAAGAAGACTGCTGGGCCTGGATGACCTCAGAATGAAATGGATTGTGGTGTTCACAAGAAAGTCTTAGTTTGTGATGATTACATTTCTTTTTCTTGTCCAGTAGTTTGGTTTGTGTACATATATACATACATATTTTGCACTACACAAATGATAACATTTTAAGGACTAATGTCACTGATACTTGAATAATCAATCAATCTCAACTAGGTTGTAAGTAGCATACATATATTTACCCTCTCCTTGAACTTGAAGGACATTAAATTATTAATTATTGTTTGGTAACACGTTTACCTGATTATCTCCCATAGAGAAATATAAGCTGCTTTTTTAAGGTACAGTTATGATAATGAGGTCAGAATTCTAAATTAAAAATGAGAAAGAATGCAAACGGAGTGGATTTCAAATGAGATTAAATCAATGTTCTGTCTTAGTCACTGAATGGCCATGTCACGTAGTATGAAAACTACTGGAAGAATCTTCTTCATCTTCGCTTTGTGGGCTGCGCATAATCTTTTTTGGGCATCCACAACCTTGAGTTTGGTGTTCAGCCATCTTAATTAAAAAGTAGAGCCCTATGTCATAAGCTTAATGTTACAAATGACTCACAGAATGACATAACCTGCTGATGGAAATGACGAAGAATGAGCGTATATAGGTTTAAAAAAGTATATTCTGAGCCTGCAGGTGATTAACATGATTTTTATTCAGTCATATACATTTACTTCTTTGTAGTCATTTTCCTTTAACTGAGGATATCTAGTGTCTGCTTCATAGGTGCTTTGAAATATAAAATGAAAACTTATTTATACTGTTTTTACAAAGGTCAAAAAGGAAACACATGAAAATCACTTTTCTGCAACTGGTGAACAATATAGACTGGACTCTTAACCTCTTAGTGCCTCAGTTTTTCCTTCGGGTTAATATTTTAGATATACCTACTTTAAAGGGGTAGTGGAAGGACTTGCAAGCTAATAGGCCATATGCTTTCATATGAATAAGGCATGCCCAAGTACTGGAAATTAGTCCCTTTACCCCACCTCTCACATTTAAATCAAAAAGAAGGCTATAACTTAGATCCTTCGAGACTTTTTTGGAAAATCATTCTTCCTGTATATCTTCCAAATTCCTTGCTCACTTAGATGTATCTTGTGCTTTGAAGATTTCTTTGATTCAAATGCTTGTAGCAAATACTTTTTAAGTAGTCTCGATATGTATGATGTTGGGTTAGCATCATGTTTTCAGAATACTTTAAGTAAGAGGAAAAGAATTAATCTATCTTTAGTATTAGTTATTTGCCTGAAGAAAAAAGTATGAAAATATAATTTGCTTTTCCCAAACTCTTTTTTTTCTTATTCTTTGCTTTCATGTAATTTGGTAATTATTACTCCTTTAATCCCATCTTGATTAAAATTTGTCTAAAGGGATCTATTAATATTTGTTTTAAAATAACTGTCCTTTATTTATTTAGAAATATAATAAAGCAAGTAACTAACTTACACATTAAAGTTTAGACCTATGGATCAGAGATATTTTCAAAAATTAGACACAAATCTGATGTCAGAAAAGGTGGTTTTTCTCTTAGTATATAAGCAAACAAAATGTAAATTAAGAATGTAAGCAGTTGTGAATCATTACCGGTGGCCAGAGGTAACTAAATCCTAGGGATAACCATTTGTATCCTGTTCCAAAGTCTTATTTTATAGTTTGAAAAGCACTTTGCACACATTTCTTGTATATAAAAGTAAAGATGTAATTATAGGGTATAGTGTTCCTGCTTTGTTTAACAAGAACCTCATTTTAAATTTTGAGGTGACAGCTATGGTATTTTTTTAATGATCAACTTCTTTTCTGTTTCTTTATTGTAAAACTAAGTTAAAAATAAAAGGTTAATGAGAAATGATACAGTTTTTGTTACTTGTTACTGTAAGTGCGTTGGTCAATGTGCTAAGATGAGAATAAGCAGTTGGAATTCATATATAGTAACTGAGGCTCTTTCAGCATAAAGCTGTGCTGTTATATAATTTGGTAAAAATCAAAAACTGGGACTCGCACCTGTATCTCAGTGGTTAGGGCACCGGCCACATGCACTGGGGTTGGTGAGTTTGAACCCAGCCCGGGCCTGGTAAACAACAATGACAATAACAAACAAACAAATGAACAAAAATAGCCGGGCGTTGTGGCAGGTGCCTATAATCCCAGCTACTTAGAGGCTGGGGCAAATGAACCACTTAAGCCCAAGAGTTTGCAGTTGCTGTGAGCTGTGATGCCACAGCACTCTATGGAGGACAGCATAGTGAGACTCTGTCTCAAAAAAAAAATCAGAAAGTAGGATGAAATTTAACTCGTTTCATCTGATTAAAAATGTTAGTGATCCAGTCAAAATCTTATATATTTAGTAGTTTTAATTCTACCAAATATATAAGTTTCCCATAGACACTCAATAAACCCTAATCAACCATATTTGTGGTGGAGTCAGCACTCTGTTGCCCTGGGTAGAGTGTCATGGCATTATAGCTCCCAGCAACCTCAAATTCTTAGGTTTGAGCAATCCTCCTGCCTCAGCTTTCCAAATAACTGAGACTACAGGTGTGTGCCACAATGCTCAGCTAGTTTTTCTAAGTTTTAGTAGAGATAGGGTCTCACTCTTGCTCAGGCTGATCTTGAACTCCTGAGCTCAAGCAATCCACCCACCTTGGCCTCCCAGAATGCTAGGATTACAGGCATGAATCCAGCCTAAGATATAATTTTATAAACATAATTTTGTCTAGCTATGGTAGGAAAGGTCATGTCTTTTGGCTTTTGATGCCTTCCCCTTTAAAAAATGTTTGAGGAGGACAGCGCCTGTGGCTCAGTGAGTAGGACGCCAGCCCCATATACTGAGGGTAGTGGGTTCAAACCCGGCCCTGGGCACACTGCAACAAAAAAATAGCAGGGCGTTGTGGCAGGCGCCTGTAGTCCCAGCTACTCGGGAGGCTGAGGCAAGAGATTCACCTAAGCCCAGGAGTTAGAGGTTGTTGTGAGCTGTGATGCCACAGCACTCTACCGGGGGCAACAAACTGAGACTTTGTCTCTAAAAATAAAATAAAATAAAATAAAATAAAAAATTAAAAAATGTTTGAGGAAGGGTCTTGCTATATTCCCCAGGTTGGAGTGCAGTGGTACAATCATAGCTTGCTGCAGCCTTGAACTTCTGGACTCATGTGATCCTCTTGCCTCAGCCTGAGTAGCTGGGACTACAGGTATATGCCGCCAGGATTTTTAAAAATTTCTGTGGAGATGAGGACTTGCTATATTGCCCAAGCTGGTCCTAAACTCCTGGGCTCAAGTGATCCTTCTACCTCAGCCTTCCAAGTGTCACCACACCCAACCTAATGCCTCCGTCTTAAATTCTTTTCTTTTTATATGTTTTTCCTTTCTGCTTAACTCTTGTTTTTCTCCCTGACTTTCTCTCTCCATTAATCCTACTTCCTAGTAGTGCTACATTTTATAAGATGGAAAATGATAAGTGTCTTTGGCTTATTTTAAAAAATTGGGTCCAGGAATTTGAGGCCATCTTGAGCAAGAGCAAGACCTTATTTTCTGTCTCTACAGAAAATAAGAAAAATTAGCAGGGCACGGTGGTACATACCTGTAGTCCTAGCTTCTCAGGAGGCTGAGGCTGAGGATCACTTGAGCATAGGAATTGCAGGTTGCTGTGAGCTATGATGATGCCACTGCATGCTAGCCTTGGTTACTGAGTGAGACCCTGTTGCAAAAACCAAAAAATAAACAGTGGTACAAAATAAACAAAGAAAGTAAATAAAAGAGAACTTTCTCCCAGTTTCAATTCCTTAATATATATTTGTAAATTTATTATTTCATAATTGTTCAGTGGAACTTTTAATAATACATAAAATCATGCATAGGAGTAGCCAGTTTTTTAAAATTCTACTTAGCACTCTTTCCCCTTTCTTCTATTTTTTTTTTTGAGACAGTCTCAATCTGTCCCCCAGGCTAGAGTGCCATAGTGTCATAGCTCACAGCAACCTCAAACTCTTGGACTCGAGCAGTCCTCTTGCTTTAGCTCTAGAGTAGTTGGGATTATAGGCATGGGCCACTACACCTGGCTAGTTTTTGTATTTTTAGTAAAGACAGAGTCTTGCTCTTGCCAGGCTGGTCTCAAACTCCTGAGGTCAAGCAATCTACTTACTTCGGCCTCCCAGAATGCTAGAATTACAAACATGAGCCACTGCGCCTGGCCCTTTCCCCCTTTCTTCTGACGTCAGTACCCCTCTCTTCTGCCCCCTGCCCTCTTGTTTTGGAGAGCTCCTCATCTTCCACTTTAATCAGGTGATTCTGGTAAGGCTGCTGGATAGAACCCCAGCTATGCCCCTTGCTGTCCCCCCCCCGCCCCCCGCACAAGCCATAGTAATAGGCATGTGCCTTACATCTGGCCAGCTCCCTTCCCATGCTCCTGGCCACAGTGACAAGCCCAAGGATGGGCAGAGGACCATCAATGAAGCAGTCAACAGTTATTCTCAGAAGTTTATTTCATGCAGCCATGAGAGAAAGTATTCTCATGCTCTCTCTATAGTAGACTGTTTTAAATTCACAACAGTACTGAGTAGAAGGTACTGACGATTCTGTTATGCTCCCTCCCCTTACATATATGCATAAGCTCCCCCATCGTCAGCATCCCCCGGCAGAGGGGTTGTATTTGTTCCAACTGATGAGCCAACATGGACACATCATTACCACGGGTTCTCTCTTGGTGTTGTGCATTCTGTGAGCTTGACAAATTTAAGATGACACGTAGGCACCATCACAGGGTGGTTGTACTGTCCAAAAAATCCTCTGTGCTCAGCCTATTCATGGCTCCTTGCTGACCCTCTGCAACCACTGATCTTGTCACTGTCTCTATTTTGCCTTCTTGAGAAGATTATATATTTGGATCACACAGTATGTAGCGTTTTCAGACTAGCTTCTATCACTGAAGGCACTTAAGGTTCTTTTGTGTCTTTCTATGGTTCAATGACTCTTTTCTTTTTAGCACTGAATAACAGCCAACTGTATAGATGTGCCACAGTCTCTCCATCCATTCACCTATTAAGGCCATCTTGGTTGCTTCCAAATTTCGGCAATTATGAACAAAGGGCTCAAGCACCTTCTGTAAACATTAAGGTGCAGGTTTTGTGCAGGCATCAGTTTTCCCCTCATGTGGGTAAATACTAAGGAGCATAACTGCTGGATCATATGGTAAAAGGTAGGTTTTGTTTAGTGAGAAACCTCCGAACTACCTTCCAAAGCGGTGGTACCATTCTGTATTTCTACCAGTAGTGAATGAGTTACTGTTGCCTGTATCATTTTTTTTTTTTAAGAGACAGAGTCTCACTTTATCACCCTCAGTAGAGTGCCATGGTGTCACAGCTCATAGCAACCTCTAGCTCTTGGGCTTAGGTGATTCTCTTACCTCAGCCTCCCGAGTAGCTGGGACTACATTTCCAGCCACAATGCCATGCTATTTTTTGTCACAGTTTGACCAGGGCCAGGTTTGAACCCACCACCTTCGGTATACGGGGCTGGTGCCCTACTCGTGAGCCACAGGTGCTGCCCTGTTGCCTGTATCTTTGTCAACATCTGGTATTGTCAGTGTTGTAGATTTTAGCCATTCTCATTGGTATGTTGTGGTATCCCATTGTTGTATTCTTTCTCTTGGAATTATAGCCTGCTAAGGATTATATTATCCTAAAGGTTCTGGGGGTCACATTGCTTGCCATTTGGAGGAGGCCTTAATAGGGCCAACGCCAAGACTTAGAAACTTTAACTTAGAGCCCCAGACAGTGAAGAATGTTCAAGTCCTTCATGCAGTTGACTCTGAGAACACCACTATCCTTCTCAGGTCAGGTGTGGTAGCTTATGCCTGTAATCCGAGCACTCTGGCAGGCTGAGGCAGGTAGATTGCTTGAGCTCATGAGCTGGAGACCAGCCTGAGCAAGAGTTGAGTCCCCATCTCTAAAAACATCTGGGTGTTGTGGTGGCGCCTATAGTCCAGCTATCTGGGAAGCTGAGGTAAGAGAACTGCTTGAGCCCTAGAGTTTGAGGTTGCTGTGAGCTATGATGCCACTGCACTCCACTGAGTGAGACTCTGTCTCAAAAATAACCCCCCCCAAACAACAACACTGCCCCTCTCTTTATATAATTTGTTTACATGGGTTGGTGAATTTTCCTTCCTACTGAATGTAGTTTAAGTTAGGTTGCTACTAGAGTCATGAGTAATGTGGGTAGCTCTTCATTCTCAGGCCTAAGTACAGGCCCTGGAGCCAGACTGCCTGGAATCAAATTCTGGCTGACACTTGCAGCTGTGCAATCATGGGAAAATCACATTGAGTTGTATTTCAGTTTCCTCATCTATAATATTAGAATAATAAGATCTCAGGGTTACTATATGTAATTTGTCACCTCATTCGAACAGTGCTTAGCACAGAGTAAGTTCATAGTAAATGGCAGCTATTATGATGGTAATAATGATATACTTTGATTTTGCTGTTAGTACTTTTACAGAAGGAGGACAAGAAGACACCTAATTTCCTTTTACAGATTTTAGAGGTGCTTTGAAGCAGTAGACACTGAAAAATTTGGGCAAAAGTACAAGTTTCTTTCTTAACAAAAGCTAGTCTCTAGTCCCAGCTACTTGGGAGGCTGAGGCAAGAGGATCACTTGAGCCCAGGAGTTTGAGATTGCTGAGCTAGGACACGATGGCACTCTACCCAGGGTGACAGAGTGAGACTCTGTCTAAAAAAAAAAACCCAAAAAGCTAAAGTTAAAAAAAAGAAAAAAAACTCAAACCAACAAAAGCTAGTCTCTTCCACCCATCCTCGGGATGCGACCCCTTTCCTCAAGGAATTTGCCATATTTTTCCCTCCCAGAGTCAACTACTGTCATGACAGACTGTTTGGTTCTAAGTAATATGTTTGAGTTGCTACTTCTTGATCTTTCTGTTTTAGGAATCATCTATTTACTTCCCATTACTGAAATCGAAGATTTCATTTTTCCCTCCTCCCTTTCATTCACTGCTCATGCGCATCTTTTCATTTTACCCATCTTTCAAATAGAGTTTGTCAAGAACTGTGAAGGGTCTGAGAATTTATGATACTTTGAATGCTAGTAGAAGACATGAGGCTCCCTTTTCAAAAACATAGTTTATTACACATGGCAATAGCAGTAGCCAGTGTATCAGTGTATTTGTACTCATGGTCCAAGTCCTAATTCTGAAAGAGTGACCAAGATGGGTGATACCTATATATGCAGTGGGGTGCATTATGGGTTAGGAACCCTGACTTTAGGGAACCCAAATGTTTTAGACATAGCAATGGGTAGAAAGGAAGCCTATACTCTACTCTGGAAACTGACATTATTCTGTGATGCAGTAAGTATCCTATTTACTCCAAAAGAAGGCACTGTCTTCCAAAGCTATGTTAAGTATATTAACATCCTTCAAAAAGCTGTTAAGATGGTCAATGATAGTACTTGCACCTCACTTGCACGACATATAGAACTGCACAAGAGCTCTGGAGAATTGTCTCCTAATGCATTTGTATTGAAATTATGGTTAGACCAGTGTCCAAGGTTCATGTTATTAGAACCAGGTAAACACTGTTTATAACTGAGCAACGTATTCAGCTACAATCATTTTTTTCCTTTCTTCTACAGTTTTTGATTATTGCCCAGGTTAACTATCTTATTTTTTCATTTGCTTAGTTTTTCCTAGATTTAACAATATTTAATCCCTAACTCTTTTCTGTTTGTCTAAAAAGTAGCTGAATCTACAATATCTTTTTTTTTTTGAGATAGAGCCTCAAGCTGTTACCCTGGGTAGAGTGCCGTGCCATCACGGTTCACAGTGATTTCAAACTCCTGAGCTTAAGCAATTCTCTTGACTCAGCTTCCCAAGTAGCTGGGAATACAGGTGCCCACCATAATGCCTGGCTATTTTTTGGTTGCAGTTGTCATTGTTGTTTGGCAGGTCCAGGCTGGATTCAAACCTGCCAGCTCTGGTATACGTGGCTGGCGCCTTAGCCACTTGAACTACAGGCACCGAACCATATAACATTTTGACAGGTATAAATTTATGTAATAAATCACTTGTCTGCAATAAATGCCATCATAGCAGGCCTTACCTGATGGCTGAATTTCAGGTGACTGTAGCTGCACATGGTAGGTCTGTAACAGTAAAGAAGGTTTGTTAACTTTCCACTCAAGAATACTGTCTTCTGTATTGGGATCAGGCTTATAGTATATTTCTCCAATTATTCAATAATGTTTTAAATCCCTCTTAAAATTGATATGCTGGACAAAAACTAAACTGGCTTATTCCTTACGCTGGCTCTGCACATTCAACTCTCCAAAGAAATCACCAAAAATCCCCAAAATACAGGTGAGTCATCAGTAGCTCAGAGTTCAACCTGTGCAAAGCCTTTTAATATGGCAGAGCCATGGTTTGAACAATTTGTGTTCGATTCCAAATCCTGTTTTCTTTCTACTACTTGGAAATATCATAGAAGAATTAAAGATACTTCTTTGCTTCCACCTAATTTAAGGGAAAGATGTAATTCACATCAAATGACGTTCTAACAATTGTATTTTGAAGATCAGAAGTGACAACCATTAGGAACATTAAATCTAAATAGTTATTACTAAAACAAGATCAGTAAAACCATTAACCGATGGATTCAATTATATAGCACTGAACACAAAAGGATAGCCAACTGCAACAGTTTTAAACTTGGACGTTTGTCAACTACATTATTTTTTGTTTCTTTTTAAAGGATTAGTCTATTTCTGCTAACGCTGGATTATTGAAGTAAATGACTATCAGATGTAATGCATCATATTTTTTATTAAAATTAAACAAGCTATTCAAATTGCAGAATTATATCACCCAAACCCTTCTGGTACTATTTGAAACAAATATACATGGTAGAGCAAGTACCAACAGAAGTCAGGGCAGCGAAACTGTATCATTATTTGTAAAGTAAGTTAAAAGCTTAGCCCTTTGTTTATTCCCCAAAGCAGTTACAGGGCTAAGTGAAAGAATTTTCCAGTTATGTTTTTTTTTTTTTTTTTTTTTTGAGACAGAGTCCCACTTTGTTGCCCTTGTTAGAGTGCCGGCATCATAGGCTCCCAGCAACCTCAAACTTTAGGGCTCACTGATTCTCTTACCTCAGCCTCCTGAGTAGCTGGTAATACAAGCACCTGTCACAACGCCCGGGCTATTTTTAGAGATGGGGTCTCAGTCTTGCTCAGGCTGGTCTCAAACCTGTGAGCCAGGCAATCTACCTGTATCATCCTCCCAGAGTGCTAGGATTATAGGCGTGAGCCACCGCACCTGGCCTCCCAGATGCATTTTTGAGGTCACAATTGTGGCCTAAAATGACTGCCCTTGAGACAGTAGCTTCTGCAGGCAATTATGTGCAAATAAATTACATTTAAATGAAGCTGTATGATTATTTTGTTATTTTAACACAGAACAGAATAGTATACTGAAATCAACAGATAAGAAAGAAAATCAAGGTCATGGCTCACTCTCTCTTGGTGGTGTTAGTGTCATTCTAGTTTTATTGATGCTTTAGTTTTCATAAAGTGCAGTAAACAAAATAAATAAGACAAAATAGCTTTTAAGATTAATATACAGTTCTGAGATTAAGATAAATTATTGATTATATTCCTGACAGCCTTTTAACTCTGTGAAAGCTGTAACATACATTAAATGCACATTGACCCAAGTATAATTTCCACCCTTAAATCAGTTTAGTATTAAAAAGTATATAATTATGCAAGCATATTCTATAACACAAGGTTTGACTGAAAGGAAATATACGTGCTATAGACTAAATCCAGATACAGTCAGGTGCTGAGCGTTATTCCTGGCTTCAAAATAGGATGTGTCTGTTGCATCCTCTGGTTGGGGTATGAAAGGCATAGTTTGATGCTGCAGATTTTCCCAGTCCACGTCGCTGAAGAGAGGATGATGTTTCAGTTCTTAGGAAAAATAGAAAACCAAACAGACTATTATGACATCATGCCCTAAGGGAGTGTTGCTTTGTAGGAATTAAAAAAAGAATGCCTCCCATATAGCTTGCCCTACTTTATTAAGGCAGTTTCACAGACATTTATTATCTGTCTCCCTATTAGGCCACATATGTCACAAAGGCACACACTGTACCATTTTGCATATCACATATATTATGACAGATAGTTGGTGTTGACTTGTCACATGAGCCTTAACGGAAGTTGATCTTTCTTTCTTTCTTTTTTTTTGAGATAGAGTCTTACTATGCTGCCATCAGCAGAGTGCTATGGCGTCACAGCTCACAGCAACCTCCAACTCTTGGGCTTAAGAGATTCTCTTGCCTCAGCCTCCCAAGTAGCTGGGACTACAGGCGAGAAGCCGATCTTGCTTGCTGCCTGTACCTTCTCACACAATCCCCAACTCCAGAGAAAATAGTGTGGCCCATTTCTCCATCCCTGATAAATCCTCCACATCGCTGATCCTCCGTGGTTGGGCTAATGCTCCCATTCTTGTAGCAGCACCTTGCTATCTGTTTATATCACGGCACCCTGCAGCACTAGCTACTGCCCGAGATAACTCGAGCCTGCAGCTCATCCTCCACTCCCTTTCTTCCCTATGCTCCACCCTTATCCTTCATGGTGATTTCAACAGTACACTGATGACACTTCTGACACATTCTCTTCGTGGCTTTTTGCCTTCCTTGATTTCACTGACTTGCACCTCTACAACATACTCATTGTCTAGCCCTATACCTGGAAGCTGTATATCACAGAACTGGTCTGCTTACAGGATCTGGAACTTGCTCACCCCTTTACCATTCTGCTACCTGTCATTGTTCCTATGGCCTTCTACCTACTGAAATAAAAATATGCTTTTTTGACTACACTGTGATATTCAGTTGTTGGACATAACTTCCTCTCTCCTCAACTCTTCAGTTCAGAAGGCAACAATAAAAATGCTGGCAAAACAAAGAAGTGTCAGGACAGTTGAGGCTTAGTAAATAGTTCCCCTCCTAAAAAGGACCCAAATTTAAGGAAAATACTAGAAGAAGACTCCACTGACAGGAAAGAATTATGTGTCTATGATGAGGGTGATGGGTTGGTAGATCATATGTCTACAGACGGGGTTTCCCCTGAACTAAATAACTGGCAGCAAATTGGATAAGATAGCAAATACAATTCACATGTAGAGAATTTGTCTCTTAATGATTAAAATAAATAAGTGAACCCAGATTACTTTAAAAATTACTTTAGAAGGCTGAGGACGACTGCTTGAGCTCTGGGGTATGAGGTTGCTGTGAGCTAGACCAATACCATGGCACTCTAGCTGGGGCAACAGAGTGAAACTGTGTCTCGAAAAATAAAAGATCACCTGTAGTTGTAGATCATTATTATTAAACATTATTAAACCTAAGGCACTGACAAGATAAGACTGTTTTAGGTAGGCGGTGCCTGTGGCTCAAGAAGTGGGGCGCCAGCCCCATATGGCAGGTGGCGGTTCAAACCCAGCCCCAGCCCAAAACCGCAAAAAAAAAAAAATAAAAAAAAAGATTGTTTTAGGCAAGTGCTTGAGATTAATAAAATTTATTTGTTTATTTATTTTATCAGTTTATTTTTTGAGACAGAATCTCACTTTGCTGTCCTTAGAGTGCAATAGCGTCGTAACTCACAGCAACCTCACACTCTTGAGCTCAAGTTATTCTCTTGCCTCTGCCTCCCAAGTAGCTAGGATGATAGGCGCCCACCACAACCCCCAGCTATTTTTAGGGATGGGGTCTCGCTCTAGCTCAGGCTGGTCTTGAACTTGTGAGCTCAAGTAATCTGCCCATCTTGGCTTCCCACAGTGCTAGGATTATAGGTGTGAGCCACCATGTTTGGCCTAAGATTAATAAAATTTAATGTGTGAATACCGTATTGCAAATTGACCACATCTAATTTTCCACGTTTCCAACATGTGACACATTGAATTTTAATGTAAAATAAGGACAGATATACCAATGGACAAATATATCTATGCAGAAGTAAACTGAATGATCTTTTTACCAATTTAGCAATCAGATTATCTGTAGTATTATACAGGGTAGACATAAAGTTGGTGTGCAATTTAAAATAGTTTAACATAGTACATAGTACATGAACTTTATGTCTACCCTGTATTATATAACACCATACACTTGATATTATATTTTTATCAAAATTTAGTACCTAGAACATGGCTCGATACCTGTGGCTCAAGTGGCTAAGGCGCCAGCCACATACACCTGAGCTGGTGGGTTTGAATCCAGCCTGGGCCCGCCAGACAACAAAGATGGCTGCAACCAAAAAATAGCTGGGCATTGTGGTGGGCAGCTGTCTTCCCAGCTACTTGGGAGAAGGCAAGAGACTCGCCTGAGCCCAGGAGTTGGAGGTTGCTGTGAGCTGTGATGCCACGGCACTCTACCCAGGGCAACAGCTTGAGGCTCTGTCTCAAAAAAAAAAAAAAAAAATTTACTACCTAGAACAAATCAAGGATAAAAGAGGTTAGTAACCCGAAAATCTTACCTTTCATTCCAGCTCTCTTTGTATCATCGATGGTTAAAAGTATTTCTACGGCACTTTGAGCATTATCAGATAACTTTTCTTCACCTTCTGGCCAAGGAATATCTATTTTACAAATATACAAATGAGCTTGTTAATCCCTGCTTGAAATAGTACATAGACATAAATTATTCTTTCTTAATAGGAGGAAAAGTATCACCTCTTTTCAGAATATTCTGGAACACCTGTTGTGGTGTTTCATCATTGAAAGGAGGAATTCCTGTCAGAAATTCAAATAAGCAAACTCCAAGTGCCCACCAGTCTACCGCAGGACCTGTTATGTAAGAGGAAATAGCTGTAACTTGTAAGCATGTTCTACAAATGTTTGATTAACTTGAAAAGTGAGTATGTAGATATTTGGGCATAATCAAGGCAGTCATGACTTAAGGCTTTCTTTTGTTTTCATAAAGTATAAAAACTTAATTCCTTTTCCTTCCTTAATTTTCCTTCTTTCTTTCTTTTTTTTTGAGACAGTCTTACTGTATTGCTCAGGCTAGAGTGCCATGGCATCAGCCCAGCTCACAGCAATCTCCACCTCCTGGGTTCTGAAAATCCTCCTGCCTCAGCCTTCTCAGTAGCTGGGACTATAGGTCCCCAGCACATGTCTGACTAATTTTTTGTATTTTTAGTACAGATGGGGTCTCACTTTTGCTCAAGATGGTCTCAAAGACTTGAAATCTCAAGGGATCCTTCCACCTTGGCCTCCCAGAGTGCTAGGTTTACAGACTTGAGCCAGCATACTTGGGCCTTTCCTCTCTAGTTCCTGAGAAGTTTAGATTTGCAATTAGCACAGCTAAAAAAAAGATGAAGCCATCTTTTCTATTTATTAATAACTTCCAACATTCTGGATACTTTATGTGTACCAAATCTTAAAACACATCCAAGGAGTGCATTCAACCTAAAATTATTCTCTAAAATAGACTACTTCTAAATCTCAAATCAGGAAACAGTTAACATTTATGTGGGTCACTATGAAAGTTTTGATAGATGGCGTTATGGACCATTATTCCACTTCTAAGACACACAATGAACAGTGTCCTTCCTGATTCACCCATGCAAATCTTAGCTTGCTTGGCTTAACTGATGATGCTGGGAGGGCTTTGTTACTGTGTGGATTTATGTATCTTGATTTTTGTATATCTCAAAATTTTTGTAATGATCCATACATGGTTACTCTATACGCCACACAAGGTATGAGATGAGGTAGCAACATAGAAACATTTACACAAATTGGAGATAGCCTGGTAACTGGGGAGAGCCTCAATTACAGAGTGTTTTGTGTTTTTTTTTGAGACAGAGCCTCAAGCTGTTCCCCTGGGTAGAGTGCTGTGGCATCACAGCTCACAGCAACCTCCAACTCCTGGGCTCAAGTGATTCTCTTGCCTTCTCCCAAGTAGTTGGGACTATAGGTGCCCACCACAATGCCCAGCTATTTTTTGGTTGCAGCTATCTTTGTTGTTTGGCGGACCAGGTTGGATTCGAACCTGCCACCTTAGGTGTATGTGGCTAGCACCTTAGCCACTTGAACCATAGGCACTGAGCCTTTGTGTTTCTTTTTTTAAGAGATAGCATCTCAAAAAAAAAAAAAAGAAAGAAAGAAAAGAAAAAAGAAATAGCATCTTGCTTTGTTGCCTAGGCTGGAGTGCAATGGTGTGATCATAGAACACTGTAGGCTTAAACTCCTGGGCTCAAGGGAACCTTCTGCCTCAGCCTCCTGAATAGCTAAGACTATAGGCATGTGCCACCATGCTTGGCTAATTTTTTAATTTTTTGTAGTTGGGATCTTGTTATGTTACCTAGGCTGGTCTAAAACTCCTGGGCTCAAGCAATCCTCCATCCTTGGCTTTCCAAACTGTTGAGATTATAGGCATGAGCTACTGTACCTGGCCCACAAAGTGTTTTACTGCTGGACAAATTATTTTAACAAAGACTATTCACTGTGGCTTTAAGACTTAATTAGGAGATAAGTCTTAATAAACAGGTAAAGATTAATTTCTAAATAATATCTTTATTGGATGCAACATTTATATACAAAGATGTTTTCAACGATTATCTTTCTTTATTATTTTTTAAATATATATGCCATAGAATACAAAAAAGATTATTGTAAATATGACTTCATAAACTGGTTTATAGTTTTGTTCAGTATAGTACAAATAAAGTATTTCCTCAGCAAAGGTTAATTTTAGTTCAAACACGGTTAACTTCAATATAAATTAAGATTAGAAATTTTACTTTAGTGCTAAATTTGTCTACAAATGACTCTTGAAAGACAGTTTCACAAATTCATTACTTTGGTGAAGCAAGTACTATCATTCCATTTTAAATTAGACAGGAAAGCATTGTAGAATCTGACGTTAAGAAAAATAATTGCATGCATTGAGAGTGCCCCTTTACCTGCAAGCCACATAATCCCATCTTCCCTTTAAGAAGCACAAGATGCAAATAGTCAAATCCTCTATAGGGTTCTATTTCTGTAATAGTCACTATACAAACATACAAGACCACCTCTGTTAGTAGGCTTTTTAAAAGCATCACTGAGAAAGAATTATTCCAAAGGATTAGATAATATAACCAAATAACAGGAAAGTAGGGGGAAATCAGGGAAAAACGTATTTATTTCACCTGGGTTAGCAATTAGGAGCCTTTTCCCAGCTAAGCCCAAATATACTTGTGTTAAAAAAAATACATAATTTCTCCATGGATATGTCACACATACCCATATTCTTAAGTCAAAGTCTACTAAGATCACATACTGTGAGGAATCCTAGCAATTCTTTTTTTTTTTTTTTTTTTTTTGAGACAGATTCTCACTCTGTCACCCTGGGGTTGAGTGCTGTGGTTTCAGCCTAGCTCACAGCAACCTCAAACTCCTGGGTTTAAGCCATCCTCCTGTCTCAGCCTCCCCAGTAACTGGGACTACAGGAACCCACCATAATGCCCAGATAGTTTTTCTATTTTTAGTAGAGACAGGGTCTTGCTCTTGTTCAGGCTAGTCTTGAACTCCTGAGCTCAAGCAATCCATCTGCCTCCGTCTCCCAGAGTGCTGGGATTACAGGCATGAGCCACCACGTCCACCTAGAAATTCTAATATATATATTATTAGCCAGAGAAAAATAACAGATTTTTTGTTAATATTACTGGGTTAATTCAACATCCACTCCTAAAATTTATCGGGATATTAAATTTTTTTTTTTGCAGTTTTTGGCTGGGGCTGAGTTTGAACCCACCACCCCGAGCATATGGGGCCGGGGCCCTACTCCTTGAGCCACTGGTACCGCTCAATATATTAATATTGTTACACTCTTCTATTTTCTTTTTCTTTTTTTTTTTTTTGAGACAGATTCTCACTATGTTGCCCTGGGTCGAGTGCTGTGGTGTTACAGCTCACAGCAACCTCAAACTCTTGGGTTTAAGCAATTCTCTTGCCTCAGCCTCCCAAGAAGCTGGGACAACACGCGCCCGCCACAACACCTGCTATTTTTCTGTTGTAGTTGTCATTGTTGCCTAGCTGGCCCAGGCTAGGTTCCAACCAGCTAGGTTCCAACCAGCTAGGCTCAGTGTATGTGGCCAGCATTGTAACCACTGTGCTATGGGTGCTGAGCTCACTCTTCTATTTTCTAATGATAATGAAATTAAAAGATTAGAAAATTCAAGCCCTTTTGTAGTTGCTTAATTATCAATGTTAATATTTTTTTCCTTTTTTTTGAGACAGAGCCTCAAGCTATTCCCCTGGGTAGAGTGCTGTGGCATCATAGCTCATAGCAACCTCCAACTCCTGGGATCAAGCGAGTCTCCTGCCTCTGCCTCCCAAGTAGCTGGGACCACAGGCGCCCG